ATTCTTATTATAAAGTCTATCTTATTAAAGTTATAAAAGTTATAATCTTAAATATTATACTTTATATATATATTAATTACTAGCCGAAACTATATATTTATTTAGTCAAGATCTTTATAAAGGACTCTCTAAAAGTTGTATATATACAAAAAATGCGTCTTTAGCTCAGGGCAGCATTATATGAAGTTGTATAGTCACTGCTTACTAATAGGCTTTGCATGACACGTCTTGCGTAGAAGATCAGCTATATCTTATATGTGATTAATCCGGGGCGGGAATCCTCGCAAATCCAGGTCAAGGATATGTTATACAAGCGTTTCTTCTTCTATCAAGGTCAAATTATGTTGGGCGTTGCGGTTTTCAGCCTTCGGGGTGCGTCCCTTTATTTGATTGCAGAGGGTACTTTGAGGGACATTATACGTATTTGCAGCACGTCAAATTGACATTTCTTAGTGTGTATAGATAGCCTGGATAGCAAGGAGAATTCTGGCTTCTTAGGATTAAGAATTCATTATATTATTATGTTGTGATTACGTATAATAATTAGAAGATTATAATATAGAAGAAAAGTATGTAGGTCGCTTATATATACAGGTCGCTTGTAAATCACGTTATAGAATTTTAAGAGTTATTAAATAATATTACTTTTAGCTTTATAATATTATTAAATAGCTTTTTATTAATAATAGAAAAAAGAATTAGAAAAAGTTTAAAAATCTACTTCTTTTATAACTTGCTAACTATTTTAGTTATTAATCTCTAATTAACTTTTTCTAAATTTTTATTTTGCATTATAATAAGTATATTATTTATAAACTTATATCTTTAATACTAATTTAATTATTCTTGTAATTATTTTCTTAAACTAAGACTTTTTTATCTTTTTTTATGTTTTAAGCTAAATACTTTTATTATAAAAATATAAATAGCCTGTTCTAATAGAGAATTATAAGAGCTATCTAATGATACTATTTATAGATCTATAACCACAATAATTAGCCTGATACAGCTAATTTAAGGTTTACTCTTATAATTCACTTTTAGTGTTCTTAACGCTAAGGCTGCAGGCAGGTCTTAACGAATTTTGATATTCTTAACGCCAAGGCTGCAGCACTCTTCCATAATTTTGATGTTCCTAATGCCAAGGCTGCAGAAATAACCTTACTGCTAAACGCGGGTATCTCTTAACACTAAACTTAGTAAGTGCTCACGCAGGGGGCAATTCGGGCTCACAAGGGATAGCTGCGAAGTAAGACTCTAAAAATAAGAATAAAAGAGTTTTTCACGACTATTCTAGCCTATGTTAAATGCATAGTGGCTGGATCCTCTGATCATCTTCCCATAATACCAGAATATTAAGGGGAAGGGGATAAGAGCAATACAGACAAATCCCAAGACACTGGTCGCCCAGTCTACAACTAATCCCCTGTACATGTATGTTGCAAACATGGGGAACCCCGCCGCAATGGCTGAACGGATAAATGTGTTGATGGCCACAGCACTGGCCGCGTTCAATAGATAGACATCGACGATATATGTTATACCACCCACTTACACCTTGTCAGCATTGTCCGGTAACATTCACCGAGGAGGTGATCTTACCGAACACCAGTATAATCCCACAACCGATGGGTATGCCAGCAACCACCTGCGAAGGCCATGGCGTACTGGGGTCACTGGTCCATGCGAACAAAAAGAGACCAGCCGGTAATACGAAACTTCCCACTATCATTGGGGGAACACGATCCTCGGGGTTGAGCTTCTTCGTTTGGCTCAAATGTTTTCCGTACCGAATCTTCGAATCAACCGCCAAAATAATACAGGCGAGCAACACTCCAATAAACAAACCAATAAATGGCAATGACGCTAGAGTTGGAGACCAACTTCGTTCAAACTCGAAGGAAAGTGGATATGCTTCGAAGGTTAAATAGAGGATGCCGTAACAGATTGAAATGTAAACAGTCATGACGATGAGCTAGGGTTAAACGTTAGCAACACCCATGCAACCATTAAAAACTTACTATTGGCTCCAACACAATCATGTACATAGGTTTGGTCAGATACTTGGTTAACAATGCTCGCATATCAAGTTTCTGTTCTTCCGATTTCGCATGAAGGGACCAGTCTTTTCTTTCGTGTCGTAGTCTTTCCGCTTTCCACTTGAGCAGAGTGGGTTCAAACGTTTCTGGAGTGGTGATCCATGCAAGAAATGTGAAAAGCGCAGCCATAATCATCGTGATCCATGCCATCCAACGCCAGCCTAGATGACTTTGTGTAATGAATGACCCTATTATCGGTCCTGCCGCTGGACCTGCGAAAGCGGCGCCTGCATACACAGCTGTGGCCATCCCTCTCTCGACCGGTTCCATAAAATCTACGTATATGCCAGCAACGATTGCTAGAGGTGAAGAGCCTGCAACACCGGCAAGGAACCGGCAGATGAAAATGGTCTCGAGGTTTTGAGCAACGCCCACGGGGATTTGTAGGATGATGAAGACTGCCATGCCAGTAAACAATGGTCGAGTGCGGCCGTAGGCCTCGGAAAAAGGACCCCACACGAGAGGACCAAAGGAGAAGCCGAGGACGTAGAGAGACACTCCTAGAATCATAATCTCAGATGAAACCCTGAACTCCTCAGCGGTGACGAAGATGGCTGTAGAAAAGATGGAGGACGCCAACGAGACTGTGAATGTCATAAGTCCAGTTGTTAATACTATCATCCAACGACGCCTCGCCGACATTTGCTTGGGGTGGGCAGGGTCATGAGGGCCGTCCCAGTCTACGAGATCATCATCCTTATTAGGAACGTGTGTTGAATAAATGATTCCTCGTCGGTGCCCACTTCGCACCGACACACTGCACATAAAATTGGTTTTTCTCCACGTTCGTGTCGGGTCTGGGATACACAAGACTGTTCAGCGTCGTGGATAGTCGTCATGGAATCGGGACGGGTTGTGTCCTGACCACTTGTAGATGTCGTGGTTTGATTGTGGTTTGAAGTCGACTGCAGAAGAGCACCATCGCCTCAGAGTTTGCTTGATCCATGGTAGGTATGACTGCTCAAAAGCCTTTCCCATAACTGAGGTCGTGTAAAAGCAGTACAATAGGGAAAGAAATGATGAACAGCGTACTGCTGGTAGATCCTGGTAGAGCGAATTGCGCCTGCAATGATTGTGGATCTAGTCGCTCGCGGTGCACGATCAAGAGGGACATATCGAGGACTGGTAGAATTATTTGAAGGTAGACTTATTCGCAGCACATGCATGAACAGTAGCCGAGGAAGAACTGCCTCTGGTGAAGCTGAAAGTCAAGTTCACGTCAACATGCGGCCAATATCTCCGCTAGGGGCTCCCCAATACGTTCCTACCGGATATGCTGTGAAACCCACCGAGGCAAAATCATGTCTCAATAGCAGATCATCACTGCGCATCGATCGAACAGATGGCCAGGAGAGGGACAGAAGCGACGAAGGGAAGGCGATTAGATCAGCGTTTCAAACGGATTGGTCACGTCAAGACTTCGCTGGAGGGTTGCTATGGCACGGAGTGGGTGATAGAACTTTGGTTTGTGAATCAAAACACCCTGTGGGGCCTTGGCGCCAATGAAGCTATTTCCTCCGGACTTTGTGTTTTCAGATTTCTGGTAGATAGTTAGTGATAAGTATACCACCAATTGATGCTTTGAGCCATACTGCTCCACAACCCTCAGCTTGAGAGTCTCTCCACCGATGATCTCATTTCAGCATATGCTTAAATTATGCTGGGACTAATATCCGCGTCTCCGGATCAGCACTACGGAGTAGTTATATCGTTTTATGCCATTGTTTCAAACCTTATCCAAGCTTGCCTAACGTGTGACTTCTGACGCACTCTGTGGGAGAAGGTTTGTCGTCTAAAGCCGAATTTCCAACGCGAAAGAACATTCTGAAGGAGCGATTTACAACACTTCAAATACTGCCGTACAATAACAAGGTCGAGGCCGTGGATGGGAGCGAGGGCGTCGGATATTCACAGGTAGAGGCAGAAACGGAGGCAGAGGCAAAGGAAGAGGAAGAGCCATCAAAACAAGAATGCTTAATCAAACGCACGACGGTGACAGTCATCATTTACCGTGGAACGAACGTGAAATGGTAGCCTTTAAAGGAGGTGAGTTTAGCGTAATCTGTGGCCACAGTCAAAACAACCTTTGAGGCAAACCAGAGCTGACGATTATTCATGGCGCACTCAAAAATGAGACGATCTTGAACTAGTACGACGTACGCAAGCTATTGCTATCTGACAGTCCATCATACACTGCATGGAGGGATAGCGACATGTGTGAATTTACTTGAAATCCACGGTACAAATAGCGTCAATATGCCAAGAGCTGAATTGCTCGTGCGAAAATAGCTGAAAGGCATAGAAACACAACAGGGTGGTAGAGCTAGTGAGTGGCAGATGGCTGCTTAATGAATGCGCCGAAGCAAGATGCTCATTTTATAAAGTGAGTGTTCATATAATAATCCGCTGGTACGTGGCCAATATTTCTCATCAATGGTAAAGATCATGTTGAATTCTGTGCTAGGATACCTCTCTCTCACAATTTTGCTTGCGCTGCTTGCGACGGTACGGTATGTCGACATCTTATGGCAAAGAAGACGCCTCGCCAGAAGTAATGGCTGTAAACTGCCTCGATCACTCCCTCAGGCAGACAGTTTACTCGGCCTTGGTACAATAAGAGAAAGCTATCACCATTACCAAGAAGGCTCATATTTAAGCCTTTCCAAAGACCGATTCGACCAATTTGGGAACACGTATCGATTCGTTCAACTCGGATCCGCTGTCATCAACACCATTGAGCCAGAAAATGTGAAAGCCATACTATCAACCCGCTTTCAGGACTTTTCAGTCGGTCTCAAACGGCAAACCGCATTTGAGCCTTTGATCGGGCATGGTATCTTTACAGCTGATGGATCAGATTGGAAGCATTCAAGGAAAATGCTTCAACCTGCATTTGCTAAGGATGAACTGAACAATCTCAGTACACTCGAGAGAAATGTGCAAGCTCTGCTATCACAAGTGACTGATCAACCAGTCAATCTCCAGCGAAGCTTTCTCGCTCTGACGATTGATTTTGCGACCTATTTCCTGTTCGGCGAGAGTACAGCCGCGCTTAGATCGCCCGAGTCGGCAGCCAATGCGGAAAATTTTGGAACGGCATTCGATCGAGCTCAAAAGACTGTTGCCAAGTTCTTTGCCCTGGGCCCATTCTCTATTCTCGCTTGCGACCCTCAATTCAAGCGTGATCAGAAGACCGTCAGCTCCTACGTTGACGGCTTCGTCGAGAAAGCGCTTTCATCGCCACAGAACAAGGGAGAGAAAGGCTGTTTCTTGAACGAGCTTTCCAAACATACTCAGGATGTGCCACTTTTGCGGGGCGGTCTGCTTAATATACTTTTGGCGGGTCGAGACACGACTGCTTCACTCCTTTCAAACCTTTGGTTCGTACTGGCCCGTCGACCGGACATTTACGGAAGACTACAAGAAGAGATTCAAGTGCTGAATGGAAAAGCCCCAACACGAGACGACCTCAAAAGTTTGTCCTACTTGAAGTCTTGCTTGGACGAATCATTAAGATTGCATCCTCCTATTCCCAGAAATTCGCGGACTGCAATTCGAGACACAATCTTGCCGGTTGGAGGAGGCGAGGATGAAAAATCTCCCATCTTCGTAGGTAGGGGCACTGAAGTTGGCTACCAAGTGTTTGCTATGCATCGTCGAAAGGATATCTGGGGTTCGGATGCAGACGAGTTTGTTCCAGAGCGTTGGACAAGGAAAGACAGACCCAGACCTCATTGGGCTTATCTTCCATTCAATGGAGGACCACGTATTTGTCCCGGCCAACAGCTTGCGTTGACCGAGGCAAGCTACGTCACAGCCAGATTACTTCAAGAGTTTAAATCCGTCAAGAGCTCGAATGAATCAGGGAGTAGTATCTGCAGTGATGGGTGGCGGGAAGATCTTGGTCTAACCTGTACTACCGCAGAGGGGACGTGGGTGCGTCTTACGAGGAATGCATGTGGGACGTAGTGCTCCAGCAGCAACGCTCTTTCATTCGATACTCGCAGATTTATTCTATTGCTGTCTACAAACCGTCGTCGTTCTTGCAAGAAGTTCGATATGGCAGCAGCGGCACGAATATTGCATCATATCTCTCAAGCTGTCTAGATTGTAGGGGTCCATACCAATATCAAACTCAATCTACCATAATTTGGTCTTCTTTAATGCTGCTTCTGTTCTCTCTAATCGCTGGAGAGGGAGTCGCAAAACCCCATCATGTCAATCCCCCTTGGGAAGTTGGTTCTAGGCTCGGCATTGCCGGTCGCAAAAGTGGGGCAAATATTTAAATCAGGAAGTACTCGAGACACCTTCAAGGCGACCGCCATCCATCCTTCACATGTAACGACATCATATTGACCACCCTGGAAGCACAGATGTCGATCAACTATGGCGGAGAAAGCAGCACATGTAAGGGCATCAATGATCGATCTGAAATTCAGGTGCTCGCGTCAGATACCAGCTGAAAAAATGTCCCACAGCACTGCGTGTCTGATCTTCGGAGATAGAGTTTGACAGACAGATCCGCCCGGAAAGATCTACTACGTCCGAGAGATGCATTTTGATGTAGATCTTGTCGATCAACACTGGGTATTAAGCACGTGCCCTAATGCATGAAATCACTTAGCAGCTTGTCGATCAACACTAATGCATGAAATCACCTAGCAGCTTGTCGAAGCACAAGGTACTAGCCGTGGCCCAATGGGTGGAGCCCTACCTGTTGCAAATGCTGACACCCTGCGTTACTGAGTTTTCACCAGGCTCAACTGTGAGTGAACTGTGTCATTCGTCGGACTTGCATAACCCAAGAGGCTGCCAAGTGCCGGGGTGCTCCGGCCTGCGTTCGTAAACAGCTGCCCGAATACGGTTGGCGTGTATCCGTAAGAAGCGGTAAATACGGAGTATGACAGGTACTTTCTGAAAATAGCTCGCGCTTACTACGTAGCATGTTGCACCGTCCCATTACGGAGTAGCCGTGGCCCAATGGGTGGAGCCCTAACAGGGCCCCACTTGCAGGGGGGTACCCCCCCTACAAGCCCGCGCGCAGCGCGTGGCTCTCACCATAACGCCCATATCAGCGTAACGCCCATCTTGATTTTCTTCCAAATAGGGTGTATTCTTCTGCGTATAGCTCCACCACAGTATGGCCGATTCGAATGAGGATATAGATGAGCGCGTAGAAAAGGCTGTACAAGAGATTCTTGCAGAACGTGAGGCAGGGGAGTTCCCTGTTGTTGCACAAATTGCGCGAGAGCATCGAGTGAGCAGATATCGCGTTCAACGGCGATTAAAGGGGGTAGGGCCTTGTACGAGTCGAAAACCAACAAATTACAAGCTGTCAGAGGTACAGGAGCAAGCGCTTTTGCGATATATCCTATCTTTGGATGAGATAGGGCATTCGATACGCTATGACTATGTCAGCAAGATAGCAAATAAGATGCTCAAGGAGGACCATACAAAGAATAGCCCTACACCTGTTGTAGGCTACTGTTGGGCTTAACGCTTCTTAAATCGACATCCTGAGCTTTATAAAGCAAAGCAGAAGCCCTTAGAGCTTAAGAGAAAGCTTGCTCATGATCCTAATATGGTTCAAAACTGGTTTGAGCGCTTTCAAGCGCTTCGAGAAGCGTATAACGTTTTTGACGAAGATATCTAGAATTTTGATGAAATAGGCTTTCAAATAGGAGTAAGGAAATCACAGTGGATAGTGACCTCTTTACATTCAAAGCGGCATTATTTGATTTCAGATAATAATCGCAAATACGTAACAGCTATAGAGGCAGTCAGCGTAGCAGAAGTTGTTATTAAACCGATGCTTATTCTGCCAGGCAAGGTCTATTTAGAGCGTTTCTATCAAGATCTCAAGGATGAGGTCCTAATAAATATATCAGATACTGGATATGCTAATAATAAGCTCTCTTATATATATATTCAGCATTTTGAGCGTCAAAGTTGATATACAAGGGTTGGCGTGTATCAAATCCTTCTGTGCGACAATTATTAGAGCTATTTGACGTAAAAGATCCTCAAATTCTGCGAACTCTAGAATATCCATATCTTCGCGTTCCCTCTGTATGCTACTTATTTTCTTCAACCGCTTGATGTAGTACTATTTCAGCCGTACAAGCACTGGCACGCGCAGGCCGTAGATTAAGTCACTCGTACAGGATGTAATAAATTTGATAAGCTCGAATTTCTTACAGCTATCCATAGAATTTGTTAATCAACTTTCAAAAAGAACTCTATTCTCTCCTTATTTCGCGAATGTGGACTTATTCTGTATAATCCACAGATTGTGCTCGAAAAAATCAAGGAATATCGACCTCCTCCTCCTCCTTAACCCTCTACACCTCCTGAGAACAAAATTCCACCTCTTATAATACCTCTAACTGCTTGAGCACTCGAAAAGCAAGCTATTCAGCTAGAAAACGCAACTCCAAGTCGTCAGAAATTGATACAACAAAAATTCATCAAAGGTGCCCTTATTCAGGCCAAAACTGCTGTACAATTTCGAAAGGATTTAGAAGCTTCTACGGCAGCTGAAAAAGAACGAAGAGAACGAAGAA